GGAAATGGCTCCGGTTCTAAATTTTTAAATGGAACACCCTTTTTATTGTAACATTTTTGGATTTCTGAGACAATTCTAGATCAGAATGTGACATTTTCTAAAGTTTTTATGCCTACTTCATTTTTTCGGCGTCACTTTTGAAATTACATTTAGGTGGCCATGATCGGAAGTAAACTAATCTAAGGACCTCAGGTGATATCAGAAAATTACAATTGCGAAGTTTTAGTGACAAGTATGATAGATATGAATAAGACAAGTTGGCAAAATTACATTTTCGTGTCTAACTATTATTTTTCAAATGGCGACCATTTTTTGACAAGCACTTTCCGAAAAAAGGATATTTTGACGAATCTAACGATATAAATTTATTTGCGATTGGATTACAGATAAGAACATAAATTAAATATTACTGACGAAAATACTTCATAATAATTTATTTACTTTTGTCAAGTGTGCCGAGGATAGGCATGATGCATAATATTTTACAGTTATTTCGATCAAGTCTTGTTAATTTTGTTAAATTTGTTGATCCAATCGCAAATAAATTAGTATCGTTAGATTCGTCAAAATATCTTTTTTTCGGAAAGTTCTTGTCAAAAAATGGTCGCCATTTGAAAAATAATAGTTAGACAGGAGGATGTAATTTTGCCAACTTGTCTTATTCATATCTATCATACTTGTCATTAAAACTTCGATATTGTAATTTTCTGATATAACCTAAGGTCCTTAGATTAGTGACTCCTAAAAAATTAAGTAGGCATAAAAACTTTCGAAAATGTCACATTCCGATCTAGAATTGTCTCAGAAATCCAAAAATGTTACAATATACAGGGTGTTCCATTTAAAAATTTAGAACCGGAGCCATCTCCGGTGAAACCAGAAGTGACCGGAAAGTGCAAAATATGTGAAAACTCTCCTCTTCACATACCATTTATCTATACCAAATCTCATTTTGATACTCCTAATGGTCTAGAAGTTATGACTTGTCTAATAGATTCGTTGACACCAGGTATTTATGATGATAACCAATTTTTGGTACATACCTATTATTACTATATTCTTTGAATGTAAAAAAATCTATAGAGCAAAATAAATAATAGTCTCATTGATTTTAGAAATGAGAGATAAACAATCTTAACAACCAACTTGACAGTAATCTAACTAAGGTACTTACAGAAAATGTACTTTCAAAAATAATTGAAGCCATCATTCTAAATTGAAATGCAGGAAACTAAATTCTCAACAGTAATTCAATTGGACAACTGATTAATGAACGGGTTTTTAGGATTGTTGATGTACCCAGATCCCAGGGATCAGAAACAATCTATGTGGCTATCTTTCATTTTTCTGATACATATTCATGCAAACAGTAGCCATTCATCAATTGAAATAGGAAAACAAAATATCATAAGTCATCTCCACAAGTTTGGAGATAACTCAGTGCATTTCTTGTTTCCTGAATCACATTCAACCCTTTGAAGGCAGTATGGACTTCTATCTCAGATTATTTAATTGAAGTTCTCAAAATGGTCTCCAAACATGGCCCCAAACATAAAATATTGTAACTCATGCAGAAGCACAGTACCTACGAAGTTAAGCACCTATCAATTACTTCACATTGAAATGAAGATAGGGCTTGGAAACCTAAAACAATCCCTTAAAAGGGCCTTAAAAACTACTTTTATGTACTCTTTAACTGTTCCAAATTTTTCCTATCTTTGCTGATCTGTTGAGTGTGGAGTCCATATGCCCAACAGAAAGGAATTTATTCAGCTTGTAACTTTCAGAAACTAGACTAAACATAAACTTGGAGAGTTTTATTATATATATTAAATACCTTCTTGTTGTTCCCTTTCTTTTGACAAATCAGGTGCTGGCTCTATACGAATAGCTGTTGCACCATTTTGATCTTCAACAGAGGCAATAAACTCTGCTTTTTCATTATTCCTTTCATCTTCATCTTCATAGGTGCCTTTGTTATTTTTCTTTTGGCCATTTTCAGGTGGGCCTTGTACTTGCAAATTTTCATCAGAAAATTCACAGCATATGAGAAATAACAGGAAACATAATTTGTACCACATATTGACTTATTCCATCAAAACCATTGGTTTCAAATTTGAAATTTTCTCATTTGAACATTATGGTCCATTTTTCACCACAACCTAAAAGAAAACCAATCAAAATAAGTCACGTCTGACGTTTGCTCTCTTCACGTCAAGGTCAGACACGTCAGTTGGTCATGTCGGAACCACAGAACGATGTCATTGTCAGAACAATTATTAGGTCTGTTCGAGGAAACAAGGAGCTAGAGTAGTGTACAGTGAAAGGAGTGTTGGGTAGGGATAGTGTAAGGTGTGAAATACTGTGGTAAAAGTGTAATAACTGGGGCAATGACGGCTAAATATCTAGACTGTTTGACGGGTTATACATGACTGTCCAATAACTCAGTTCATTGTATACTCCACCAGAGGGGTTTACTTGCTGTCTTTCGCAGAGAAGTCATTTGTTTCCTGTTATTTTGAGCTTTTGGTTGTTTTCCAATAACATAGGTTATATTGAATTCTTATTATCAAGTGTCAGAACTGTGTCACTCTTAGGTCCCTGTGTTCTGTTGAATATCGATTTCAAATTCCTTTACTTTTTCGAATTTTCATTCAATCAAGCATTCTTCTCCGTGTTTAGTGCTGTTAGTTTATTTATTCAGGTTTGCTAGTTGTGTCTTCTTCATGTATTTACAGCCTTCTGATGAGCTTCGAAAATGAATAATCAAATGTCGGGTTTTCTTTTTCGAATCATATACCCAGTGATAAACTCCACAGCAGAATATGTCGAGGCTAGAGGCATATGAAATGAGACAATTAGATCATCAAAGGATGCTCATAATGCCAAAATAAGATCAAAATTTGTTGAATGTCCTAACGGATCCCGTTCATTTTAGTCCTTCGCCAAAGCTGTAGGAAGAAACCTCACTTCCAGATCGTTTCCTCTTCCAACCAAGGAAGATGGAACACTAGCCACAACTGTCCACGAGGAAGCCAACATTTTTACGCATTTATTCGCTAGAAATTCCAATCTGGATTCATCGGGAAAACAACCTCCAAACATAACAATTGACAGTCATATGCCCGAGATCACCTTTCGCCAACGTACTATAAGGAAGATTTTATTGGGTCCCAACACCAACAAAGAGCCTGTGGCTCCGACGGAATCCCACCGACTGTCCTCAAGAAATGTGCTCCCGAACTAACACCTGTTCTCTGGTGGAACCTTAGCCGTGGCACTTGATATCTCCAAGGCATTCTATCGAGTCTGGTAACACGGACACCTCGCCAAGCTTCCATCTTATGGCTTGCCTCCCCAGCTATGTTCTCTGCTAGCTAGTTTTCTCTCAAACAGGTCTCTCCATGTAGGGCTCGACGCATCTTCATCTGACTATCTCATCATAAATGCTGGTGTTCCGCAAGGATCAATTCTAGCACCAACACTATTTTTACTCCATATCAACGATTTGTTGGAAGCAACTTCATGTCCAGTACACAGCTTCGCGGATGATAGTACCTTCCATAAACCTTCTCTTCCAGGGCTCCAATACCAGCCAGGCAAATCAGAAACGAACTAGGGAGAAATGTTGACAACATAAATATATGGACTTGGCAACAATTCTCGAATGGGGATTTAATAACTTGGTAGATTTCAATGCAAACACAACACGAGCATGCCTTTTCTCTAGAAAAACCGATCTCACTGTGCCCAACATAAGCGTTTCAAGAGTAACCATACCTTTGAAGACATCCATTTCAATGCTTGGTATTACTATCAGCAATAACCTTTCTTGGGAAAATCACGTAAGATCAATTGCTTAAAGTGCATCTCAAAAACTTGTTTTTTTTTGTTTCGGGCCAGGAGCTATTTCACTTCCAGTAAGCTGCTTATGATCTATAATTGATGCCGACTTTCCGTCCTCATGGATTCAAAAAGTACCTCTCATTTTGGTCCCATTATTGTAGAGATATCATATACGCGATGCATCGTCCATGAAAATATCTATGAGATAAAGTCAGATCGCCAACTTTTCTATGGTGTTCCAGAGAAGTGAGTGAGTTTGTGAGCGAGGCATCACCCACGATACGAATTGCCCTTTTTTGGACAGAATCCAACAGTTTCAGGGTATGTTTGGGTGCCGCACTCCAAATATGGGAACAGTATTCCAGGACAAGTCGGATCTGTGCCTAACGCCTATTGTTTGATTTCGTTACCTATAGAAACATAAGTTGGTCCCGCTAAGGTAGAACTGGATGGAGAAGACGAGACAGGTGGATGGCGGATGCACCCAAGGATTGGATGCACCTTGCACTTGCCTTGCACCTCCATATTGAAGTCTGACCAAGCAAATTTTGTACCACTATTGAAATCACTCTAGAAGAAACAATCGAACTGTTGCAAATTTCCGCTGAAATATTGATGAGAATCCATAAATGAATTGTTGTCATAAAATCATGACTTTAAGACATGTTTTTCCGAGACTTACGAGTCCCGACATACGAATTCTAATAATTTAAATCCAAGTTGCCGGCGTATAGAATTTCATGTCTAATTGTTGGATATTTTGTGTCCTAGTGTTGAAATAGACAACCTGGTGCGCGTGGCATGAAATCTGGTCCACTTATGCCAGCATGCCGTCAGCCCACTGTGGACATTTGTGTAGTGATTTAGTTTCAAGGATGTTTTTCCTTCCTCGCGAGACCCCGTGCCCCGAGGGTCTCGTTAATTGGGGCTAATTTTATGTTGTCACTTTTTCTACGAGCCAAGGTGCGTTTAAGTGAATGCGGTTGCGTCCATAGTGTATCACGTGATTCACACTCTAACTATGACCAATCTGACACTTGGGAATGGTTCGAAAACTTGAGGCTACCCGTAAGCTATCGTGTATGTTGACAGCATTGCCTAACCTCAGTTTTATTCTTTTTTTTTAACATAGTCGATCTGAAAAACGTGAAATTGAAATAAAAAATCAGTGTTAAGTGTTATACTTTCATTACCATCACGATAGAAAATTCATAACCAAATTCATTGTGCACTAGGACATAGCAACTGTGGCTTCATGATAATAGCAGGTGCTTTATACATCTTGTGTACAACATTAGTTGAATAACAATTATACATTATTAATATCACACAGAATGACTGAAAACATGGGTATTGGTGATACTCTTGGTGGGGAGGTTGGGGATTTACCTTCCAGTATAACTATCTCTAAATTCAGTGCAGCACGACGTAGAGAAATTGAGGTATTGGAAAAAGCCCTTTCTACATCATCTTCTATCAAGCTAGCATTCCAGAAACTTCCAAAACATATGCGAAGGAGAGCAATGTCTCACAATGTTAAAAGGCTGCCAAGGCGTTTGAGAGAAATTCATTTGAGTCAAATGAAAAAATCAGGGTTACCTCCAAAACAAAAACGACCATCAAGAAAATATAAGCGTAGACCTAACAACTTGACAAGTGATTATATGAGAAGGCAACATGGAGTTGCTTGGTTGAATACCCACATATGGCATGCTAAGAGATTTCATATGGTTAGGAAGTGGGGCTTCAAATTACCTTTATCACCTTGTGATAGATCATTTAGGGCTTGTTATAGAGCTACAGTGAAACATTGTTTACTGCAAGATATTTCATACTATAGCTGTATTGAAATAAGTGGATTGTTTAATGATATTGTAAGTGGTTTTAGAAGAGTTACCAAGCCATATACTGGTTTATCAGTAGCTGCAAAACCTTATATTAGTGGGTTAAGGGAAGGCAAAATCACTTTATTTTATGTTGAAAGTGAAAAGCCAATAGGGGTAGTGAACTTTCAGTGGAGACCTACTAATAGTAAAACAGAAAGATGCCAATTATGGCTATGGATTCATGCTGCATACTATGAAGAATCCTTAAAAACGTTGATTAGTTGTTTTAATCTCCAGCAGATGGATACCAGTTCAACCAACATAAAAACCTATTCAAGCCAAATTATCCAACTGAAACTGTTGAAATGGGAACTGAGTAGGTTCAAATTGACAGGACCACTTTCTACTTCAATTCTTCAAAATGCATTCAAATTAGTAAACACTAATAAAATAAATCCAGAGTGGTTCCATGAATTTGTAAAACAAACTGATGGAAAAGTGATTCCATCACCAGATGATAAATGGCAGAGCTTAAAGAATAATATGTCACCATCTGACCTATCCCCTCATATAATTTTGCCATTAAATATAGTAGATCCAAGACTAAATTTCCCTAAGAAACGAACCAAAGCACTACCATTTTTTGATCCATCATGCAACAGTGATATTCCTATGGAAAATGTAGGATATGATAGTATTCTCTGGAGTGATGAAATGCGAAACATTGTTAGACAGTCAAAGATATCAAATGCAGAAGTAATTGAGCTGAGAAGAAATCTATTAGTTCCTGGATCTGACTTTGAAGAAACTGGTGTTCCAGTGCCTATTATTTTGGTGCAGAGGCCTGGAAAAAAAGGAACAAATTTCATAGGATATGGTAGTGGTTGGGATATAATTATCCCCTCAGCCTGGGCACAGCCACTTTGGCTGTGCCTTATCATGTGGGGTGCAAGGAGTGGTGGTCTCAAAGAATTAAATTCCATTGATTTCGAGTCCAGTTATCAGTACTTGTTGTATCCTGATACAGCAGCTGGAAGGGAAGAAGAAAATTGCAGGTCTGAGGAGTGCAGAGAGAAGTTTTTCAGATTACCTCCAAACAAAAGAACAAATTATAGAAAATTTGGCATTTCAAGTCCTTTCAACTGGAACTGGATGTTATTATTGAATGAGTGGTCTAGTGGAACAGAAATAACTGAGTTTTTTGTCCTGAGAGATAAAGCCAAGCTGAGACTTATTCAAAGAAATTTGGCAGATAAATCAAAAACCATTGAATACCCTGAAATACCTGGTAATTTTCTGATTCCAGTAATCATTGACTTATCAAATAAAGGCAGATGCACACAGTTTGCTGTAATATGTCTTCCACAAGGAGAAGATATAAAAAATGAACCAATAGAACCAGATACCCCAGATTCTAATGAAAAATTAAGAAAAAAACTGAGGAGGGAACATAAAAAATTGTTGAAAACACTCAGAAAAAGAAGAATTAGAGCAAAAAATAAAGGAAAAGTAATTCCTATTGATAAGGATATGTTGAAACACTACAGTACAGAGATGAGGAAATTATGGATTCCTGAAACAACATTGTTAAGGCATTCATGTAGCAGGGAGGTTATGGGGATTGTCAAACATGGAGATTTCAGTTTCCTATCAGGGAAAAGTAAATCCATAGGTTACATTACTGTTGGGGCACTGTTCAAATTGATGGCTTCAAGATATAAGAATAAAGTTTTAGTTAGGAATACCAATTCAAGGCAATATAGAATTGGGACACTAGACATTATTTGTGAATGAATTCATCTATCATGTTTCTGATCTATCATGTTCCTGTTTAAGATTTAAGATAATTTAACAAATTGTGGAGAATGAAGTGGGTGAAGTAGAAAGATATTTATATACATTGTTATATTAGGTCTATTCTATTTCATTATAAGCCTTTTCCACCTCCAGAAGAAGTCATCCCTAATTTTCAAAATCCAATTTATCTGGTTTGAAGTACTTTAAAATCACAATGTATAAAGTACCAATCAGTTATTTCCAAATACAGAGAAAGAAGACTATAAAATATAATGTGGAATATTCAATAATGATACTCTTGACTGTCATTTTTTATTCATAATTATCATTAATTTTTGTAATAGATTTTCTTCATGGTCTCTTTTGCAATCATGTTGAGACTACTTTCTAGAGTGCTAAATTTTTGCTGATATAGCATAACTAAAGTAAAGAGAGAAATACTATTTTAAAAACTTCTATCATATAAGGTGCATCAAAGTTTCATGGCGCATTACCAGAACACCCAGTACATGAGTGGTATATCATCAACGTCTTAGGAATAAGAGCTGCATCTCAGCTACAAACTAGATACGGTAAATGGTGACCAATGGGCGCTTAAAATTATCTAGTAAATATTGATAAACATAATTATTTTACAAAGATCAGCTCAGTCATTATTTTTATATCAAGGAACAATATTATTATTAATAGTTTTCCAAAGTTTTTAGTGAATTTATATAATGTTTTCAATTAAAAAAAATATATAATTTGACTATGTTCTAAATCTTGAATTTTGTAATACTATAAGCTAACCGCCCATTTAAAAAAAAATCTCAACTCCTCAGTGCAATTTTTTACTACCCTTATAAACCGTTCTATTCTAGGCACGTGCTCTCGCCTTGATTTGGGTGTACTCTAGATGGAAGAATATTGAGTTAATCATTTTTTTATAGATCAGCGTAATGGCGTAAAGTATTCTACTCATCGAACCTTTTCATTTGAAAACCATGTTGAAGAAGTTTCAAGTTTTCAAAAGGCCCAGTCCAGACTCCAGCCGCTATTTAAACAGTACAAATTCCGTGCTCCTACAAATTCACAGTTGTTTCCGAAACTATACTCTAATCGGACATAGTGTGGGACTTCGCATAGGCATAAAATACCGCCATGATAATTAAAAATGGCCAAGAATAAATAATAATAGTTATTTATGTCTTTATTCATCACGTGTAATTATTATTGAGGCGCAATTTTAGTTCAGTGGTATACACTATAAAAATATTTGAGGAATTGTAAAATAATCAATCAACAATGTTTAGACTTGGTATGACAAGAAGAAACTGAATGAAATTCTGCCCATACAGAATTTCGAACAGAACAATTTACTTTTGTTGGATCAAACCCATTTTAATATTACAATAAATCAATTCCTCTAAAACAACTAAGCATAATAGTTCAAGTTGGCCTTCTTCTTGGCCTGCACCTCCATGATGGCCTCAATGCACATTGCACACCATCTTGCACTAGAGGCTTACTTGTCATCCGCCATCCGTCAAAATGATAAGCTTTCAAAAGCGCCATATTCTAAATATCTTAGGCCTCTATAGTCTATGATGCATGCCCTCTCGTCTTTCGATCCCTCACTATTCATCAGTCTACCACCAATCCTGAGGATAATAGTCACTGACATACCTACATTCTATATAGACCACTAGAAGTCATATCTCAGTAATCTGAAAATCTCGGGTAAATTCCTCGCCTGAAAACGCTCCTGCTCAATACGCATGAATCCCCAGACTGTCATGACAGCGAGAAATGTTTCTTATTGTTCCGAAACATGAGCAAGAGTGAATAAGATATATGACAGGTCCTAAATGCGCATTCATGTGCGGATTCATTTCCACCAGTTCGATCTCGTAAGTGGCTTACCTTCATTCTTATTGAATTAGCGGTCTAGATTATAGTGTATGACGGTGATAATAGTGAGGAACGGTATCAATTATAGTGGGTCTTACCTAGAAACATTATATTTATCTTGTACTGCTCACTGTCCGTTGGAATTCAATTTGATCACTGGCAATCTTTGTACAAACTGTTCCACCAGCTTTTAGTGCCTTGAAAATATACGTTGGTCTTTATTCCTTGAAGCCATTCAACTATTCTAGGAATCTCGTTTGAATCCATTCGAGAGGTATCTTCTGCCCTTGACATCGTGTCAAAAAGTTTCCTGTTCATTTTCTCCCGCTTTCCATCACAACAAAAAGTTTTTCAACTTAACAGCAAATACACGCCACTATTGAAGCAGAATAAACAACCTCGAATCACATTTAATACCGTTTTTCCACCACTGTCTATAGAACCTACCTTTTCCACTCGTCGCACTAGCTGGAACGTTTTACTATCTTGTCTTCATTCATCACGTGTAATTATTATTAAGGCGCAATTTTAGTTCAGTGGTATACACTATAAAGGAGAAACGGAGAGAAATTCCGCCCATACAGGTTTTGAACTGAACAATTAACTCTTGTTGGATCAAACCCATTTTAATATTACAATAAATCAATTCCTCTAAAACAACTAAGCATAATAGTTCAAGTTGGCCTTCTTCTTGGCCTGCACCTCCATGATGGCGTCCATGTAGTCCTCGTGCGTGACAGCGGTCGCGTTGCGCCGCAGAGCGATCATTCCGGCCTCCACGCACACCGCCTTGCACTGGGCCCCGTTGAAGTCGTCTGTGGACCTGGCGAGCTCTTCGAAGTTGACGTCCGGATTGACTGTCATCTTCCGCGAGTGGATCTGCATGATCCTGGCGCGGGCCTCCTCGTTCGGGTGGGGGAATTCGATTTTGCGGTCCAACCTTGCTTGGAACAATAATTATGTATATTCCATTTCATACAGGTATTGATTATCGATGAGCCAAGACATGTCGATGTCTCTTCGAATTCTCTCTAGGCTTCACCGTTGAAGTGTCAAAAGCCTGAGGGAGATTATGAGCATGGGCCCGAAAGTACTTTTCCTACGACCACCTATGAAAGCAGCATATAGCAAGGCCTGTGCCAAGTCTGTGGTTTGACCGGGCACATACGTTCAGTTTGAAGTCTGACTAACCAGCTGTTTGGGAATATCGGTCACGTCTCAAAACCTGCCCACAAAGTTACCACGTTAACTTTTGATGGGAGTTGATTCAAACATTGACCATTCTGGTACCACCACTGTGGTTGAACGACTGACTTGACACAGCCAAAGTGTTGTTGCTTCGAAAGTATCTCATATCACCATAGCAATGCGAAAGTGAAAACGAACAATGTGGCAGTATTCCCAGTATTTGGCTTTATTAATGTAGAACCTATCGATTTTAGAAAAATCTCACCGCATTCAACCATGGACTTTGTAAAAAGAAGTGAATTGTACAGTGAACTGTAAGCTCTTGGGATGAGCCACAATAGACCCATTCGGGGTCTATTGGTGGAGGGGAAGTATTCGCTCCACTCACATGGAACCTAACCTAACCTATGTACTTTTTTAAAAATGAGCCTTTGATAGCTCAAAAATGTTTAGCCGATTATAATGACATATCGTTACTTTCAAATGATTATCATTCCACTGGAATAGATTTGATCCAGAATTTCCAAGGGTATACCTAACGAGCAAGTCGGTAGTTTTCACTTTCAATGCGAATATCTTGCACAATAAAGAAGTTAGAGAAAAACTCTTTGAAACAAATTTTATAGTTAGGGGGAACTAGATTCACCATATTTAGGCGCGACAAACCCCAACTTAGAACTCGGGATTTAGATCTGGGAATGTTAACTTGGATCTCGGGGTTCCAATATCTAACTCGGAAATCCGAGTACCTAAGTCAGAATTCCGAAATCTAAGTCAAAATTCCGAGTCAGAATTCGGACCCTTTTACGTTTTCGTGAAAATTCACTGAACAAAAAAAACAGATTGCAGAAATGTTTCTGATGGCCTAACAAAGCGTTTGGGATCACACGTTAAAAGGTGAGGCCCCCTTCATTCCTTGCTCGCACAAGTCTCTCGAAGACTTCTAAGATTTGCTCGTAAGGGGGCAACCAAATGACAGATAGAACAATTTTAGAACTACAGGGCTGTACACACTAGTCGAATTTACGCCACATACCTATTTCATATTAATCATTCCGTGTATAAATAGTATTTGATGCAACCATTCGTTATTTGAAATCATCGCAAATATATTTTTTTCAATAATGAAATTCAGCATCTTCGAAAAACGCCAGTTTCGATGACGTCATGAACCGAACCGAAAGTCGTAGTTATCTGAATTCTGCCTTTCGCATAAAAAGTAGGACCACATATTTCGACGCTGCCAGATTTGTAACTAGTAATTACCTTATGAGAGTCAACATGACCAATGACAACAGTATTCATAGTTTATCCAAAAACAAATGCAGAATCTTGTGCCGCACCTGCAGTCACTTCAAAGGAAATTTCAAACACGCTGACGCCGCACAGTGCGGGATATTCTGCAATTGATATTGGATATACTATACATTCAAAGACGACAATAGTTCGACCTAGTCCCTAATAATCACTAATTGAATACTTATATTCTTACACAATGCTTCAGTACCAATGAAAATATCCTAATAGTATTCCTAATAATGATAGAGATTTTAAATAAAGCCAAATTATTTTGTGGCCCAGGCAACAGCGTAATGCCTAGTTCCCAGGAATACGAGAAGAGAAGAAGACGAACTACAATGTCAACCTAATTTTCTATCGTCAATATCGTCCGTCACCTTCATATTCTAATCCCTCAATTCCTTGTTTCATCTAGTCAAGATGCGAATATTCAAAGATAATCCTCTCACTATCTGATTCTTCAGTTGTCTGTTGTGTTCTCTGTTATCTGCAGTAATAGACTGTTGGCCCACGACACAGGGTTTATCGATATTCTAAGTCGGTATGCCATTTAAGGGACCCACTCACTTAGTCCAAGTTAACAGGAAGGAGTGCCTCGGAGAGTCGCAACCCAGTCCTTGCCCCGGCCCTGACCTAACCTTCCGGTTGGAAAAAAGTTCAAAATTTTGTTTAAGAAGAAGCTCGGCAATGAAGTGCAATGATCTTATCTCACGACAATTGGGGCGCTTGCTGGTTTGCATACGCCTAGGTCACTCCCCAAGGGAGGCATACGAACCGGAAGTGGCAATTTTTCAATGTTATAGTCGATGATCGAAGAATGTATGCCCTTTGGCGAAACAATGAATTCTGATTCGTTAATCAGTTTCCTGACATTTGCATACGATTCCGGAGAGGGGAGCTCGACTTATTCGAACATTAATTGACTAGACATCTTTCAAATAATCGATGATTTAAGTTCGTATGCAAATCTCTAGACCGATAAACTAGGATATTCTTTATAACTGGATGCTATTTGCATACGAATTCAATGTGAGCATACGTTGTAATAATCGGGCAAACCCGCGCGTGCCTCGGTCCGGCGCGGCGCCCCGCACTGCAGGCCAGAGGTGCACCGAAAGCGAACTAGATAATCGGGAAGTCTCATAATCTCACTTCACATGAAACCGGGTCAAAAATTATCTTCCTGGTAGTGATGAGGATATTCGAAAACGCAAATTGCAGATATATTTGTAATTTTATCCATCAGAAATTTACAGCTCAACAAAATTACATGTGTGAGAGGTTTAGTACCAAGAAATATTTTGTGTGATTTTAATTTGAAAAACAGGGCTTTGAGAAGATGATAAAAAAAATGGACAACAAGATACTCGCAAGATGATCAAGAGGGATCGTACAGGGAGAAGAGGGGTGGATTATTGCTCATGATCGAAACTCACAATAAATCGAATTGAAATTCTTCCTGGGGCTTATGGGTCTGCTTATCATAATACTGGCGTCTGAAAAATATATAAAGAATGTTTATTTAGTTCGTTGAATGTTTTGGGTATAGTATGGGGTCCTGAACTTTAATCTACATTTTTGTTTTTCACATAAAAAAAAATTATTTGAAAATGAAATTATGTTAAATGAGAACAACATTATATTTCAAAGGAGAAATTATACGTCGTCCTCTCTATCATTATCTTCAGAGTCATCTTCGCTCTCGCTGTCTGAAGATGATTCTCCAGAGTTGCCATCAGTACCAGTTGAAGTCTCAGAGATTATGATATCACCAACTGCTGAAAGAGCTTCACCAAGGTACCAATGGCAATCGTACCCAAAAAAAGTATCAAGGGCCCAGCCCCCTTCATTATTTTTCATGTAACTGACAATGACATAACTTCATCAAACCCAGTATAGTTGAGTTTAGCGATAAGATTCACACGCTGCACTTATATACAGGGTTACTGGTAATCCGATTCATACCACTGGTAGGGAATAAGGCAGTAAGAAGTGAATAAATCTATAATATACATTATACAAAAGTAAATGGTTTTCGAGATATTCAAATATCGGATCTCCGACAAAAGGAAAAAACATTATTGAATGCCTACTGAATCATTACGTGCTACACTCTACCCGGCTGCTGCAGCAAATCATTGTTCAGATATGAAAATTGTTTCAGCAAAAAAAAGGAAATACTTTAAACCCGGGATTCATATTTCTGGCACAATTTGACAATTTGTAGAGCTGTATTCGTCATAATAATTTCAACTCGATAGTGAGGTAAAGAATAGTGTTTCAGTAAAAAGAAATCAACAACACAACAACTACCCAATAGTTTATTTGTTATGAACAACCTGTGCATTTTTTGATAACAATGAAAAATCTCTTAGGAAAATCATTTTAATTGGTTTTTGAAATGTTAAAATCGGTACAGAAACAACTAAGTTACAATGGGAGATATTTATGATGAAACACCCTGTACGGTATGTGCAAATTGTATGCAAACCATTATCTCATATATACTGTGTGGTCCACTAACCATGGTCAAAATTTGAACATTTCTTCGATTATCGATTATTTGAAGAATATCCAGTCAAATGATGTTCGAATAAGTCGAGCTCCCCTCTCCGGAATCGTATGCAAATGTCGGGAAAATGTTTAATGGGTCCGAATTTATTGTTTCGCCAAAGGGCATACATTCTTCGATCATCGACTATAACACTGAAAAATTTCCACTTCCGGTTCGTATGCCGCCCTTGGGGAGTGACCTAGGCGTATGCAAACCGGCAAGCGCCCCAATTCTCGTGAGATAAGATCATTGCACTTCATTGCCGAGCTTCTTCTTAAACAAAATTTTGAAATTTTTTCCAACCGAAAGGTGAGGTCAGGGCCGGGGCAAGGACTGGGTTGCGACTCTCCGAGGTACTTCTTATTGTTAACTCGGACTGAGTGAGTGGGTCCCTTAAATGGCATACCGACTTAGAACATCGATAAACCCTGTGTCACGGGCCAACAGTCTATAAGTATTCAGTCTAGAAAATTTAGTCAAGGGCGTACACCTTCTGAGGAGGCGAACTTGTTTTCATATTTTGATTGAATTCTTGCACTTGTCTTACAGAAATAGAGAAAAAATACGTATGTCACAGTGAACTAGTTAAAGTTAGTACTTCGGAATAATTAAATAAAAATGTTCACTGAAACAGGCCCATTTTAAGGTGGATTCATGCAACATCAACCAAATTATAATGAAATTGAGATTTGAACGAATTTTAAATTAAAAATATATGGGCGTTCATGCAATAACCTTTCATCAACGCGATGATCTTTTCCAGCGCCATTTAGTTCAATGTTCGCCATCTTTCTTAGTTTTAATCTTGTATTTTCTTGCATGAGCACCATCATTACATTTCATAGTTTTATATTATTGGTTTGAGTTTGAAATTCATTTAAGTTTTAGATTTTGCTTGCATGAATCCACCTTTAGTTATGTTATGAATTGAACTTAACGCAACTGGTTACGTAAATTAAGACGCTTCAAAACTTCCGTCAGTTTTGAAAAGTGTCAAAATCATTAAAAATGAATATCATACCTTCCTGAACGGAGCAGAGCGGGATCCAAAATATCCACTCGATTCGTTGCCGCTATAACCTTGATGTCCGCCGTCGAACTGAACCCGTCCAGCTGATTGAGCAGCTCCAGCATGGTGCGTTGCACCTCGCGATCGCCTGCCTTCTCAGAATCGAACCGCTTCGTACCTGAGATGGTTATACAGTACAATTTCAAGACGAAAGTGCCTTATTCGCGATATTCACGAAGTGGGCGACATCTAAGTTACATAATACGAACTACAAACTGGGGGAAAACAAACTGTTGTCTATGGATAAAGTGCATACACTACATTGCATACAGCTTGCTGTAGCTGTAGCTGTCAAACTTGTCAATGACATAAAGTGTTAGCACTGTTGGTAGTGATGATGGTTGAGTTGGTTAATTTTTTTACATTATTACATTTTTATTAGTTTAGTGAACAGTGAACGGGTGAAGAATTGGAGATAGTTCAAACAATTCAAACTAATTATGACGAGCAAATCAATTGACATATAAAAGAATAGATACAACATGTTGACAATACCCAGATTGTCCTGCTTTGCAGGAACTAATACAAATCCATTGATTAGCAGGGAGAACTGCTTCTCCTTCCACTACTGGTAGGCGTTTTCCATCTAAATAGAGCAAAATATCTGCCAAAAGAACATCTAAAACAGGCATTATTAGCGTTTTCGATCGAATATTGACAATTAATGTCAAGAAATTTAAAAACTTATCACTCTTATCAGTACACAGTATACAAGCTAATGGCACTAATGGGATTGAGTGAGGATTGAGTTTGTTTTCCCCCAGTTTTGACGTGGCTTTGACATGGAACGATGAAAACCGAGCGCCACCTGGTAACATTGATTCCCGCGAATACACTTTTGTCCAAAACTATAGTCAAGGAGCTATGAGCAATTTCAAATATAACAGTAAATCAATCTGGAAGACTAAGACCAAAATTCAATAGTAGAGAAATCTGGTAGGCCATGTAATTGTTTTGTCATATTATTATGGTGAAATTTGTTTGACCTTGTTTTAAGATTAATTTACAATGGCCACGTTTTCAAATCAAGAATATGCCGATATTCAATTTATTTACGGATACTGTGACGGATATGCAACAGCGTCTGTACGGGAATATCAGCAGAGGTTTCCTGATCGAAGAATACCCAATAAGAAGGTGTTCAGCAATATGCATCGTCATTTGACAGAAAGAGGTGATTTTCCTAAAGCTACTGCAGAACGTCCCGTGCAGCAAGAACTTGCCGAAGAGGAAGCTATTCTTAATATGATCGAAAATAGTCCCTCTACTAGCGCCCGAAGAATATCTAATCGTCTTCATGTTGGTCGAATGAAAGTGTGGAGAACATTACACAATTTTGGTTTGTACATCACATACAATCTGTTCAGCAACCAGCAGACTGTGCAGCACGTATTGTCTTTTGTCGTTGGTTGATTGCACACCAACAGCTTTGTGGACAAATTATGTTTACGGAAGCCACGGTTACTAGAGATGGAATTACGAATACCAGAAACTCACATTCAACATCGTTCTTCGGTGAGTATTTGGTGTGGTTCTAAATAACCTTCTTATTGGGCTATTCGTTTCTCAAGAACGTTTAGCATTTGAGATTTATCTGAATTTTTTACAAAAGGAGTTACCAGGATGAGGTAGGTTGGTAGGAGGAGATTCCACTTCAGAACAGAGTTGACATGTGGTTCCAGCAGGATGGCGCACCACCTCATTTTAGTTTAAATGTAAGATCATATCTGAATACAACTTTGCTCACCGGTGGATTGGAAAAGGTGGTTCAGTTGCTTGCTTGTAGCAACCAAGTTTGGCAACGAATGAAACATTGTGATTCGATGAAATCTTTACTCCTACATCTGTCACGAGTGTCACATTTTCGCTTTATTTATGTGTTCAAATTCCGAATGGAAATTTTAAATCATTATGAATGATAATTAATAAGAACATTTGTGGTTTATTAGGATATTGATATTATATTAGTTGAGTGAGTGTACCTATTGTACTTTTAAAATGTACTGACGCTGCTGCAATGTGCTTGAGCTAGGACTTGAGAGTCATTCATGAATTCGCCATTGAAAGTCGAAAATATGTATAACGCACCGTCTCTGTCTGAATCTGTCACGATACCTGTAAATATGGTTTGAAACTTCGGAAATTTAACAGGATTCATCCACGCCCCTCCATTTTCACAAAGTAGGCGATAGGAAGTGGTTACACAAATTCAATTTCCATATCTAGTACAGTGTCATTCATAATAAGTTGGCATCATATGGGAAAAACTTTTTATGATGATTTATTTTGAAATTCGACTTGGGCGATAAGCTTTGCTTAAAAAAAGATGAAAAATGGTCTACACGGTCGGACTCACGTGACTTTTGCTACGTCAAAATTTAATTTTTTTTTCACATTAATCGCTGAAAATATGATCATTTGTTCGAATTTTAAAAAAGTTTACTGAAAAAAGTTGTTCCTATTCCAATTTTACACAAGTGTCTAGAATTTGAACGTTCTATTGCAACTTTTAGTGCTTGATATTTTTTTATTTCTTCTAATAATCGTACCTTCGGTTAGAAATATAAAGTATTGATGGTATTTTTTTAGTTTATTTGAATCTATAAGCCCATCATTGAAGCAAAACTTAACGCCCAAGTTGAATTTCGAAATGAATTGTTCTAAAATTGTGCAATCCGTCATTCGGTTGCCCCCTTACGAGCAACCCTCAGAAGTCTTCGAGAGTCTTGTGTGAGAAAGGAATGACGGGGGCCTTACCTTTTATCGTGTGACACTTTCTTGGGCCATCAGAAAAATGTCTGCAGTCGATGGGAATCGAACCCACGACCGACAAGCGGATGCGGATTAGAATTATTAGAAAAATTGTCCACATGATACCGACTTTATGAATGACACTGTATACATCTTCGTACCGATTGCGTCCAGTTCGTCGATGAAGATGATGGCGGGCGCCTTCTCTTTGGCCAGCGCGAAAGCGTCCCGTACGAGTTTGGCGCCGTCTCCGATGAACATCTGGACGAGTTGGGGGCCGGCCAGCTTCAGGAAGGTCGACTTCGTTTGGGCGGCGCAGGCTCGAGCTAGGAGGGTTTTGCCCGTGCCGGGCGGACCGTACAGTAAAACACCTGAAAGTTGGTAGTGGGAAACATCGTGGAATATCTTATCTTTAAATCATAAAAATAATCTATTTCTCAAAGTAGCCCGAGTCATAAAAAAAACACAAAGTTAGTCGACCACACTTCATGGTCTACAACACTAGTCTGGCACCACGGACTCCTCGCCAAGCTTCCATCTCATGGCTTGCCTCCCCATCTATGTTCTCTGCTACCTAGTTTTCTCTCAAAGAAAGGAACTCCTTGTTGTGGTCGACGGAGTTTCATCTGACTCTCCTATCATGAATGCTGGTGTTCCGCAAGGATCAATTCTAGCACCAACACTAATTCTACTCCATATCAACGATTTGTTGGAAGCAACTTCATGCCCAGTACACAGTTTCGCGGATGATAGTACCCTCCATTCCGCCTTCTCTTCCAGGGCTCCAATACCAGCCAGGAAAATCAGAAACGAACGAGGGGGAAATGTTGACAACATAAATATGAACTTGACAACAATTCTCGAACGGGGATCCAATAACTTGGTAGATTTCAATGCAAACAAAACAGAAGCATGCCTTTTCTCTAGAAAAGCCGATCTCACTGTGCCCAACATAAGCTTGTCAGGAATAACCATACCTTTGAAGACATCCATTTCGATGCTTGGTATTACTATCAGCAACAACCTTTATTGAGAAAATCACGTGAGATCAATTGCTAAAAGTGCATCCCAAAAACTTGGTTTCCTGTTTCGGGCCAGGAGCTATTTCACTTCCAGTCAGCTGTTTAAGATCTATAAGGCACAGATCCGACCTATCCTGGAATACTGCTCCCATATTTGGAGTGCAGCACCCAAACATACCCTGAAACTATTGGATTCTGTCCAAAAAAGGGCAATTCATCTCATGGGTGATGCCTCGCTCACAAACTCACTCACTTTTCTGGAACACCGTAGAAAAGTTGGCGATCTGGCTCTATTTTATAGATATTTTCTTCTGCAATATCAACAATTGTTCCTCCCTTGGCAGTCCCCGGCAGAATTACCGCCCGGCGAATACACCGCTTGTGTGCAAGGCATGTATCAATTGCTCAATACTTTGTGAGGACATAACCTAAGAACCACCTAGTATACTTTTTGGAATTCGGTACACGTTATCCTTCTTCAACCCAAGTGACTCGTCTGTCAGTCACGAGACAAATCCAGGTCCGGATTAACGAAAGTTGATCATATTTCTGGACCCCGAAAAAATACCCTATTATTTTCCTGTATGCTCTTTCACTAATGAATTTCTGATTTTGAATTTGAGGTTTAATGCATTCAGATAGGTAAGATCTCAGGTAAGATGGAATGGAATGTTTTGAAGTTTCCCAATCAACTAACAAAAATTACCACAATTTTCTTTGATATCATCAGCATTTGTGACCCTGATGAAAACACCTTCACATATTTCAATATTACTATTAAATATTTATGTATTTGTGCAAGAAAATTGAACAAATCAATCCACATAATAGAATACCACCATTGGAACAATTTCATTATCTGAAATATTAAAATGAAGAACAAAAAATCTTCTTCCTCAACATGAAACATAACAATAGTAACAGTTGCTCAAAGTGTCCTCTACTTTATATTTTTTTGCATCCTCTAGTACTAGATTCTGAATAAAAAATACTTTATTATTGCCCATTTCAACATATCTCTAAATCCAATATTAACTGAGATAGCTTTTGGGAAAAATATAAACAATCACCCTATACATGCAACTAATGAGATTTTTTCTGTAACCAATATTACCAGATGTCAATTTTGTAAAACTGACAATCTGAATCTAAATCAAGAATTTGATCACAGTATTAAATACTATAAATATATTGAAATTTGAGTAGATCTGATTTGAAATTTCATATCATAAATTGAACATGATATCAAATCAATAATATTCTTTGCAATATCCTGAACCACACTATTCCCTATTTTGTTTTTGTTTTTCTTCATTCAATTTGAATTGTTTGACTAACCAATGTAATTAGTATAAGAGATAACTGTAAAATTTCCTGTAAATTTACATATCAATAAATCAGTCACATAATGGAACTAGGTCCAACCTACTATGGAGGAAATAGTTGGTATAATTTTTCAACTTACCCCTACCCTGCTTGATAGTCCTATTTCATCTCTACAGTTTTGAGTATCCTGTACTGAATTTCATTGTTTCATTTCAAAGCATTACAGAAATATTCAGAAAAAAAAACATATACAGGACATTCCTTTCAAAAAACCGTTTTTTACATAACCTTTATTTTTCAATTGTGAAAGCTGCTGTTAAAATATTGAATGCTAATTTTGAACACCCTGTACATATAGTATAATTAACCATATAATCAGATTTAATCTATCCATGAAAATAAAAAAATATTAATGAAATCTAACAGAATAATATCAAAAACATTTGGCAGCTTAAATGTGCCTTTCTGGAAACATTCTTGATCCTTGAAACTAGACTTATACCAGTTATTATACTTTCAGTTGCTCCCAGAGGAAGAAGAATGGAAGAATGAAGGGAATGATATTGAAGGGTCTATATTTCTTCCCAAGTGAACAAAACATGTGCAACTTCATAATAAGAGGCTAGACATTTGTTTTCAAAAATTTTCCTAAATCTCAAGACAATATTTCAATGCTGAATGATTCTTCATTAATAAAAAAGTGTGAATTCAATAAACACAGGAGTATGATTTTAGTGGAATATTTCAAGCCAAGTTTGGACCAATAATTTCAACATAATTATTGTCTATGGTCAAAGAGTTTTATCAGACCAGTAATTGTATGATCTAATACTAGATCTAATATTAATTGTATAATATATCTACAATACTTAGGTACTTTATAATTGTAATAGTTGATGTGGACAATACAAACCTTTGGGTGGGTGAATTCCAAGATTTACAAACTTATCTTTGTGGGTCATTGGTAGAACTACAGCTTCTATAAGCTCTTGAATTTGTTTGTCAAGACCACCTATATCAGAATACTGTTCTGTTGGACGCTCATCTACTTCCATGGCTTTAACTCTAGCATCATATTCAGCAGGGAGTGTTTCTAATATAAGGTAGGAATCTTTGTTCACTCCAACCAAATCACCAGGTTTGAGTTTTTCTTCGTCAACCAACCCAATAACCGGTAGGAAGTAAGTTTGTCGGGTGGAAGTTTTCACAACAGCACATTTGCCCTTTCTCTGAGAGTCCAGATCTACAACAGCACCATCTTCCTCTTCCTCTTGTGGGTCTACATCTAAGAGTTCTATAACATTAGACACCAAGTAGGGAAGGGTTTTATTGACTTTGATCTTTTCAGTGTTCTCCTTGATCTTTTCGTTTTGGGCTTGTAATTCATGGTTGATTCTCATGACTTCACTTTTCATTATTTTTATTTCATTGTCTAGCAGGCGAGTTCGGCTTACGATTTCGTCAGTGGACATTCGCAAAACTTCTTCACCTAAGGATTCTTCTCCATCCTCCCAAATAGCTTTATCTTCCAACGTCGACATTTCACCAGATCAGAGGGATTTTACTTTGTACTTTATTTTGTTAACTACTTGGTGATTTGCTGATTTGAAAACAGAATTGTTTGCAAATGTTGCAATGTCACCATTGTCACCGTCAGCCGTCAAACCACCAATTGTCATTGTCATTATTACTGTCATACTCACTAGTTGCGTTTTATTTATCCGATTCCGCCACTGGAATCACAATAGTTGCGTTCTATTTATCCGATTCTGCCACCGGAATCACTTTGATGTGTCGTTTTATTTGCAACTTTTCCGATTCCTTTTCATTCCGTCTCACTTCAAAGAATGACGTGAATGACTGTTGACAGTTGTCAAAAAATTATGGTAATTTTTTACGAGGGCATTGTCGAATTTTTTCAAAATTTTTGCCAGTACTTACGTATTTTGGGGTGTAGAATACGAATCTGAAAACCAAAAAGCTGGGAAACCAATACTTTTCGAGATATTTGCAAAACAAAATCTTTATCATCACTGTTTTGCTGTTGTTTGGCGGCTCATCACTGGCAATAGGTACTGGCATGTCTGGTGTATACGCACTCCGTGCATATGTTAATGTCAATTGTTTGATCAACAAACAACAAAGAAAGATGATGGCAATGTTGCCATAGCTCGTCCGTTTAACGCTTATTTTCTTTCTAGACGATTCTCAGAAATAAACATGAAATAAATTAAGTTAAATTAATTTAAATTTAATTTCTATACATAGTTTTAGTGTGATTAAAAAAATTGAAAATTCTTTCATTGAATGGAATAGAAAACAATATAGGGAGGGTATTCCAACCATATTCTTTCCAATGTGTGTTTGAAAAATGAGATCTACTTAACCCGAACAAACTAACCTAACTATAGAGCTCGGATTACGATAGACGTTGCGGTTACGATAGACGCTGCGGTTACGATAAACGCTGCGGTTGCGATAAACGCTGCGGTTCCGATAGACGCTGCGGTTACGTTATCCGAGCTCTATAGTAACCGCGGTTCTATCGTAACCGCAACGTCTATCGTAATCCGAGCTCTATAGTTAGGTTAGTTTGTTCGGGTTAAGTAGATCTCATTTTTCAAACACACATTGGAAAGAATATGGTTGGAATACCCTCCCTATATTGTTTTCTATTCCTATTACGGGAAAAAACAAGATCTGGCAACATTGCTTGTTATTGTCTGTCAATTTATCATGTCTGTCAAGTGTCACGTTCACGTTTGATGCATCTTTTAATCATAAAAAAACACATACATAAAATTAACAAGGTAAATAGCAAATGAAATGCTTTCATTGTTAAAATACCCAAATAAAATGAATTGAGAAATACATAATTCATCAATCAACAACGAAAGAAAGAAGATAGAGAATTATACCGCTTGAGGAATGTTGCTAAAAGACGCTGAAAAATGATGAACAAAATGACTTATTTTGCAAATATCTCGAAAAGTATTGGTTTCCCAGCTTTTTGGTTTTCAGATTCGTATTCTACACCCCAAAATACGTAAGTACTGGCAAAAATTTTGAAAAAATTCGACAATGCCCTCTAAGTAAAAAATTACCACGAAACTTTTTGAAAGTAGAAGACATTTAGCTGACATTGTTATCGTGAAGTTCACAAGTTTATGACTCCTTCAAGTAAAACAGGTTTCATATTCCAGATAAAATTAATTATCTCGATCTCACAGAAGTTTGTCCAATCACCACAATACATAGGAGTGGGTGATAATTTTTGTCGGTTACTCGACCGAAAAGATACATATAATAATGAAGATGATGGAAAGCCCTAATTTCGAGTGATAATGGTAGATGAAAAAACTCCACCGCCCCGTGTGAGAGTCAAACTCGCAACCTGCCCAACGCTCTGTCAATTGAGCCAACGAGGTTGTGAGTTCGATTCTCACACGGGGCGGTGGAGTTTTTTCATTTTCCATTGTCACTCGGAATTAGGGCTTTCCATCATCTTCATTATTATATGTATCTTTTCGGTCGAGTAACCGACAAAAATTATCACCCACTCCCATGTATAGATTGCCTGCGGACATTTCTGTATACAAGGAAAGACAATGCCAGAGGACGAACGGGGAAATATGGAGACTGTATAGTACCATCCTGCCAGCGATGCTTCGTATAGTGTAGTTTATGATTTCGAGTGACTTCGGGAATTGGAAGGATTCTGCCGCTTGGTGTGTGATGAGAACTCGACCTCCCTGCCGATTGATCGACGGACGACCCGTTGGCTCAATTCAATCAATCATCTTCATTATTACAATCACTACAATCACTGCTTCAAATATTCGTTGATTGATTTTCTAAATTCTTAACTCAAATATAATTATTTTGAAATCATTTGGATCCCCAATATATAGATATAACCTATTATGTGATTTCTCCCATGCAAGGTCATGAAGTTTCTTGTTTTATTTGTAAACGTCATTCTGTTTCCACAACCGCTACCAGAATGGAACAAATAAAACGCAACTTTTAAGTCAATACTAGCGATTGTACTAGCGTCAACCGTCCACACGATTGTCATGAATTGATAGTGTACATTGAGTTCATTGGAATTGATAGAAAACATTTACATTGAGTTCATTGACGGAAAATAACAAGTTGCCTCATCTGACAGCAACAATTTGAACACTTATGAGCGGTGTGTTTTGATATATGACCAATAAGCAGCATAATATATATAGCATAATATATATCAAAGTCATTAGAAAAAAGTGGCCACTCACGAGAGAGAACTAACTGCAGAACAGAATTATTAGCTTGGTTAGGACCTGCCATTCATATATCTGTGAATTAAATTACTGGTGGAGTGTTTCTGCACTCAATAGGCCTGTTCGTTTGTGCTTGCTCTACCTGCTGAACTTGATTATTTTCTATGGCTTTCTCTGTTTACATCATGTCATGAACAGAGACAACTATGGAAAAAAAATCAACTTTAGCAAGTTCAGCAATACAAACGAACAGGCCTAATGTATATAGGTCAGTTCTTTTTCACACCACATTTTCGTCATTCATGGAAATGACGTCACTTTTTGATGCACCGAATTGCTGGAGTCATCAGTGTTGAAAAAAAACGAAGTAATTTAATATGACTATCACAACTGTTTTCTCCATTATTTATTTTTCTTATTTGATGATTTGGGCTGTTTTCAAATACAAGCTCAGAATTGGCGAGAACTAATGGAAAATAACGTATTAAAAGTGTTATTGGAGTCTTTGTCTCCATTTCCAGAAGTTCTTCTGATAGTTCCGAGGATGAAATATTGTTTATAGATTATAGATAGGTTGAAAATTTTCATCAACCTACCAAACATTCCAGTAAACACAACACACAACTCGTTTCAGAAACATTTCAAAAGTTCATTAATACGATGTCATCTGAAACATACCAATGTTAACATAAAGGAAACATTTTTGAAGCTCTCCATGCTATGTGAAATATTTTATAATTTAATGCAATATTGCATTTTATTATGATGATATATCACATATAACGGTCTAGATAGTAATTATGCTATGTCAGTGGATGATCGACGTGACCTGCTATCTACACCACTATATGTCATATCCTCATAAAACTCATATCTCGTAAATTGCTCGCCAGAAAACGCTTCTGCTCAATGCGCAGGGCCCCCATCAAATCCGTTCATATGGCATTATGTCATTAGCGGTGTAGTCAATGCACAAACCTTGTGCTTGTACTTAGGATCGGAGCAAACCGCTCAGAATAAGCTCAGAAGTTTTCGAGTTATTAATATTGTCGTCAGGTGGGGCGTCGTGGTATTTTCTATCGCGAATAGTACTAGATTTTATACGAACCTAGCACGAGCACTAGCAACAGTGACAACGGCAACAATGGAACAAGCGCGGCATGCGCCATGCGGTCAGTGGCCCCCTCCCCCCTCACCCTGGCCCCCCCTATTTGTGATGAATGATCATATTTTAATTTTAATAGTTTGATAATTTCATTTTTCATTATTTATGATATATAGAATATTCTTTTCATTATTGTTCATCACTGGGACCATTTTATTATTATGTAAGTGATAATGAGGCAAAGACATGGTTTCATTAGTGATGAACAGGATTTAAATGATAGATTTTTGGAGGATAGAAGGAGCATCCACAGTTTGTCATTTTTATGGGGAGTTGCACTTCTTATCTATCTTCTCGGAATTTTTGGGCTCATTTATACCATAGATAATGCCCTACCAACAGCTCTAACCATTCTTGATGAGGTGAGTCGCCTCAAAATTACATTACATTCTAGGCTGGATTCTAGCTACAATACAAACAGGCTATAGCCACTGAAGCTGGCCTGGCTTTTTTCTTATCTGTATTATTTTATTATATTCAAACTTCCAAAGGAGTCCAGCGATATCAATAAAGTCCTAATGATGAAACTTTGTCAAGTGAGTGCTTGCCAGAAATGATTAGAATCAAAAGTCCAGCCAGTTGTTTTTTCCACTTTTGCTGGTATCATTTGGCAAACCAGCCGATCTAATGGAAATTTTTTTCATGATTCTAAATACACAAAGTACTGGATCAAGTATTATTTAATCATCACCTTCATGGTAGGTCCCTCTAGGGCTCATATACAACTTTTTTTCATGAATATTCCCCTCATTCACAGTTCCAACTGTTAATATTGTTAATCTCATTTATACAGGGTGACATTGAAATAAAGACAAATATTTCAAACCCTGGGAAAGCTCAAGTCTTCCTCAATTCAAAAATAAAATTTGGGGTGAGACTCCTTATCCTATATCAATGAATATACCAATTGAGATGATTAGAAAATTGATATATTTTATTGACAAATCGATAATAATAATTGACATCCAAAATATTTTCTTGAAACCAAGGTGAACTCATATACAGGTACTTGCTATATAGGAACACCACATCCTTTTTCCGCTCAAAATTCAACACTGTGGCATTTCTGACATCACCTCTGTTCCAATTTCCCTGCTGAAGGCACAATCATGCATAGTTCAATTATTTGAAATGGTGTACTTGATTTTTTCTCAATTTTTTGATACATTTTTAAGGTGAAATTTCTGGTTAACCCATTAGTGCATAATGTGTCTTATAATGGACGCTCCTTGTTTAATTTTTTGTGACGTCAATCATGCAGGAATAAAATGTTTCATGCGCCAGAACTGTAAGTGTAGTTCAACAACAAACAGCTATCGCTTCTATTTTATGAATTTGTATTTCGACAATATTCTGCACGTGATCAAATGGATAACAATTTGTATTGCACCCGACAAGGAGGGTAAGTATTTATTATAACGGAGTATAATGAATTTCAGAATTTCCTATCCCTCAAGATCTCATTATATGCATGTGTTTATGAACCTATAAGGTAATTCGACTAATTATTTTGTTTTGCAAGACACTCAAAATATTGCTTTTGTGTTGTGTCCATTATAATGGACTCTATGCATATCGGTCATCAAGATTTTTTTGTAGATCATTCTTGCAACACCTCTTAGACATATGGAAAATGGCTCAGATATCGATCAACCAACAGATAATCATACATTATATTGCCTCCAGAAGAAAAGTTGGCAGAAATGCAGTTATTTGAATTTAGAAACTGCGAATCCATAATAAATCATATTTCTAAAGGAATAATCAAACAGCCGTGCGACTTTCGTTATTCTGATCCTGATTCTGATGAAATTGAAAATAATATACATTTTCGCATTATGAAAAGGAATATTATAGCATCAAATGATTGTACGTTATACTGCAGCACGTCAACATAGACACGACTCCATCCACTCGTTCGACTACTCTTTTTCTTCAACGGGTTTACATTTCTTTCCACTGGATCGTGTGAGGAGCACCGAAAAAAGGTCAGGAAGTATCATCCCAAATAATTTCTTGATATGATGCATTTCCATATACCCATCAGCTGAATTCCATTCAGTAGAGTATACAAAATTGCAATTTTATATGTAAAATAGGACTGCATCTGAGGGATGCTTCAAAATGTATCAAGTCATCATGATGTATAATTTTCATTATTATTATCATTATTATTATTATTGATAATATTGTGATTGATGTTATCGAGTTTTTCATGTTCTGGATATGTACTTGAATAAAAATGAATACTGAAATTTCCTACTGATCACTTTCATCAATGAACCAATTAGCATAGAGTCCATTGAAATGGACGTGTCATATAAAAAAAATCTGTTGTAAAAAAAAAATATTCGTCATGAGTTATCATTCTTTGGGTATATTTGAATGAGTAAACATCTTCAGAATATAGAGATTTGAAAAAAAGTAACTTCATGCACTAATGGGTTAATCAGATGAATTAGAAAACATCTGATATCTTGGGAATATTCCTTACTTATTTCAAAAACACCTTGTTAATAATTTACATTTAATTTTACCTCAACAGCTCTATTTTCCATGAGAAATAGACTAAATTGAATATGAGTTGAATAAGATTCTATAAATGCATCTGACTAAAGGAGCTGAACTCTCAAGATAAGTTTGAATTGAATATAAATTAAATATAAATTAAATATAGATTAAATATAGATTAAATATAAATTGATAATAAATCAATTATAAATCAAATATAAGTTGAATATAAATTAAATATAAATCAAATATGAATTAAATATAAATTAAATATAAATCATTTTTATGAACATACCATAAATTAGTGCTAATATACAGTTGCAACTATAAATTGGAAAGGAGGAAGGAAAGCTCAAAGTCATCTCCACAACTTTAATATGAAGTGTTTGTTCAACGGGACATGTTTCGAACTTATAAAAGTCCATCTTCAGCCGTATTTAAGAAATTACTAAAATAAAGACATGTGAAAATATACAAAATGTTATAAAAATTGTTTTTTGACTTACATGGAGGTGAAACATTGTTTGTTTCAACAATGATGTCGATGTCTCTCATCTCATTTGGAAAAATATTGGACCAGATGCATACTTTCGTTGGTATACATTGATACATATAACTTCCACCATGCAACTTCATATACAACTATCAAATGACCCTGTATAAAGTACATGAAATGATGTATACAAATAAGGCAGCAATTGCCGGTATAAAGTATCAAAAATATGTCAAGTATGTTAAAAAAGTAGTTACTGTTATGGCACGTAAATAAAATTGTGCAAAACCATATATTTTTAGAAATAGTATACATTGTACCTATCAACCCTGACAAGCAATGTAAGTAAAATATTGGAAAAATGCATAAAACTATGATTGAATAGTATCCTAGAAAATAATAATCTGATCTCAAAAACTCAATTTGGATTCAGACAGAACTGTAACACAGTTTGAACAATGACAAAGCCAAATGCCAAAGCCTTTGATACTGTGTCACACCACATTCTACTGAACAAACTGGAGCTAATAGGTATCAGAGGTATACCAAACGACCTTTTCAAATCATATCTAAACAACAGGCATCAACAAGTTAAAATTCATGAATATCTCAGTGACCCTTGTTCGGTGGAGTGTGGTGTGCTACAAGGCACTGTGCTGGGGCCAATACTTTTTATAATATATATAGACAGCTTGACCAGAGTCCTATCTGAGGGTAAGGTGATTTGCTATGCAGACGACACTGCTTTGCTGTTTGAGGATGACTCTTGGAATTTGGTGTTTAATAAAGCTGAGACCGCCTTATGTTTAGTGAAAAAATGGCTTGATAGAAACCTTTTAACCCTAAATGTTGATAAGTCCAACTTCATGTATTTTGCTTTAACAAAAAAGAACCTCCCTGAAAAAGAATCGCTGATATTTCGATAACTCAACTGTGAAGAAATGAATAATTGTCAATGTAATTTAGAAATTAAATTTAATAATAAAATCAAGTATTTGGGAACTTACTTTTACCCACACATGAAGTGGAACTATCACATTGAATATGTTGTATTAAAAAGGGCCGGCTCTACAGATTTGTCTGCTAGTGTGCAAATCCCAGAGTAGCGCCCCTATTGGAGTTTATTGAATTAACAAACTGAAAGCTGATGCAACAATTTTCAAAAAAGAATACGTTTATGTATAATGAAAATTTCAATTTAACAAATCATTAATATATCTAAAAATAAAAATAAATTCTGAAATAAACAACCAGAGTCGAGAAGGAACTCTAGCAATGAATTCATATTTTATCAACTGAGAGTATTCAGGTGAGTTATAGGTAATAATGAACACACAAGGAGATATATTGCAATTCACAAAAATGGCACTTTACGGGCTTGCTGAGTAGCAAAATCTCTAATTAAATCGCTTATATCCAAAGTATCTAATAAGTTTGTTTCTATTGATGTAGTTGCGAAACTAGACAATCTTTCTTGGGACATTGTCGAGCTCAAATATTTTTTTATTATCTTCAATTTCTAAAATGATCTATCTCCTGTTGCAACAGATACTGGCAGTGTTAGCAAAATTATCAAAGCTACCGTGAAGTTTTAAAACAAATGAACTAAATTATTCGTATTACAGCCTCTTTTCATTTTGTGCTCCAGATAATTTTTTAAATTTTCTCTCCTATAAATCATAAAATCCATGATGAAATTGACTACGCAAATGAAATGTTTCCAGTCACTATACTTAATTTTAAATTTCCACTCCCAGTTTTTCATTTTTTTTTCTTCAATGAAACACAAACACTGGAGACCATGAAACGAACTGAATCACTGAAGTAGATTAAAAGACAATGTCAATGACAATATTCCATGAACTTTGTCCAATATACCACTCCACTCAAACCACTACATCAAATTATCTATGTGTGAAAAAAACGCCGACTATAAATAAAAATAACCTAGTGCCACTGGGCGCCCTGGGCGGCTTTCAAAGGCGAATTGCGAATTGTTAAGATCATACATTGTTTGCCGCCACCGGCTTCCTGTAAAGTGAGCAAAAATATTTGGCCAATTCGGGACTGCATAAAACGCATTATGGAATCGGGCGCGTGCCGACAAAGGATTTCACGAAAGATAACCAACTTATATTATATTCCGTACCACTCCGTACTTTGTTTTTTACGCTCCTGTCCCAACCCCCTTTGCCTTTCGGCGGCATGTTTTGATGTTTGGAATGGAACTAGTCAGTTTTTCAATGAATATTTTAATTTGAAAGTAGGTATTTTTCTATCGTTTTCCCTTACGTTTGGCGCCCCTTTCTGGCCTGATGGTGTGCTGTGCACACCTCGCACACCCGCTAGAGACGGCCC